AGGCTTTTTCCTCTCCAAAAATTAAACGATGGTTCACACTGGCATTTTACAGAACATGGTGTTTGTAATTAGTATTGTGGAGGTAGGGCTCTTAAGGAAGAAGTTTTCCTTGGCTGAATTAGAATAAAATATGTAATTATGAATTCCTTTAAGCTACACCCAATGTTTTCTCTGTCCAAAGTAACGTATATGTCCTTATGTATAAACCTGCTTTCTACTGGCTGGACTCGTGGAAGACGAACAGAAATTGTAGTCTGACTGCCTGTCCATCCAGGTCTTTAGAGGCTAAATCTGCATGTCCGCCCGCTGGTGTCCTTGTCCAAAGTTCTCTGCAGGCCAGGCTTCTGCCTCCGGGTCTTCCTTCCTCTTCCAAGCAAGTGCGATAGCGCGCGGGGGAGAGTGGAAGCCACCATTCAGACTCAGGTCTGGCTTAGGTAGGCTCATTTGGGTTATACAACTTCCGATTTTCTATATTCCCAGGTGATAAGCAATGTAAAATCTAGGGAGAGGAGAAACTTGGCGAGATTGGATGGTGAGTTAAATCCTCGAACAACTTTAAAAGGTATTTTAAAACGTTTTCAACAGAGGAGGAAAATGCGCCAATGTTGCGTCTTCTTGTAACGGAATCTAACATGGAGGCTGGGACCGTGGTGGGTTCTGACGGGGCCGATAAGATGGGTTCTGTGTCTGTCAGCCATTTGGAACTAGAAGTTTGCATAGATGAATTGTATTTTTCTTCCTTTGAGATCTGGTTTGTAAGAGGAGGAAGGACATTTTAGACATATTTCAAAACTGAGTTGCTGGTGAGGCCACGGATAGTTTTTCAAGAGTTCGGGGAAATCAGGCAGTGTCTCATCTGTTGTTAATTAACGAAATGAAACTGAGGTCACGAGAGTACAACGATGAATGAAAGGTCAGTGAATGGAAAAAACTGTCAATGAAGGAGGGTGTTAGCAGAGTGGAACAGTGTCCTAGATAAAGATCAGGGAAAATGTACTCTGGCTCAGGTCATGTTTTCTGGAAGCAACTGTGGTTTGGGACATCTCAGTCCAGACTGAGCACTAACTGCTCTGATTTCAGTGAAATCTGTTCGGTATTTTAAGGCTGTTCAGGTCTGTGCCAGAGATTCATTTAAAAAATAGGTAAAAAAAAAAAAAAAAAAAGATTTCTGTTCGGTTTATAATGTGTTATAACACCATGTGTTATTGCTGTGTTGTTTGGCTTTTTTGTTTTGTTTTGAGGTTAAAAACTGGCTTCCTGCTCTTATCTCTGTTCTCTTGGAATTTTCTAGAGCCACACTCACTTTTGAGATTCCCCAAAGTTAAAAGTGATTTAGGATCATGGTAGTAGTTAGTGCTAAAGCCTGGCCTCAAACAGCCAAGGGCTGACTCTGTGGTCGTTGCCTAGTTGTGTCCCCTCTGAGAGTTGCTTCGTGTAGGATGGCCTGAAAGTCCTCAAGGCGACTTTCAGCTTCACTACCGCCTCGCGCACTATGGCCCCGAACGAACCAGTGACTGTATTTTTACTGTAACTAGTTCATCTGTCGACTCTGTTACTGGTTTCACACGAAGTGCATCTAGAGTCTCTTGTGCCTCCGATCATGTCAGAGCTCTTGCCCTTTTTTCCTCCCACATTGAAGCCTTTGAACCATATGGCTTTGGGGGAAGAGAGGCTCTGCCATCAGTTTGGGAGAGGTCCATGGCCATTTCCGCCTGGCATTGAGACCTGGCAGGTCACAGCTAGTGAGGGCAGGACCCCGTGGAATTCAGCAAGGCTCTCCTTGTACCCTAGGAGAGAGTTAATCTCCTAGTATCTGGAGAAGTGATGAATTAGCACAGCCACTGAGTGTACAGACTCTGGGGCTCATGTCTTAATTCTGCCAGTTATTACCCTGTGTTTTTTCTGAACCTCTGTTTTCTTATCTGTAAAATGGGAATAATGATTAGCACCTACCTCGTAGTTATAAAGATTGAATAAATACTTGTAAAGTGCTTTGAGCAATGTTTGTCACTTAACTAGCATAATTGGTGTTTGGTAACATTAACAATCATTGTTAGGTTAATTCTTTGACTACTTGTATTATTTGTATATCTGATTACTTATAAATTTAAAATGGAATTCAAGTGGAGTTTCCTTGGATTGTTTCTCTTTTCTCTGAGAATATTTACTGAAATATTGTTCTGTTGGATTTAAATGAGAGCCTATTATATGAACTATATTGGAGCCAGGATAGAAAAAAAATCTGAGAGCAGTTCTTTGGAGAAACACCAGACCCACAGAAGTTAACAGAAGCTTATTAATATTTAAACTCCTACAATTAAATTGTAATCAAAGTAGTGCCTTCCAGTTATTATGCTGGGTAGGTGTAAGGTAGACCAAGAATGATGAGACCCTTTAACACTTACTGTTATGAGAACTACTTTGTGAGACCACACCTCACCTTAAATAACTGTGTTACGCACTTAGGCTGAAAAGGAACAGCCTAATGGAAACACTAATAGAACACTAATAGAACAAAATTATAAATCCTACTCAGTGATACCCTGATACATAGGCCAGGGTAGGGCGACCCCTTTCCTGAGGTTCCCCGTGGGCTCTGCTCAGAGGTGTAGGATTGTGACCCACTCCATTTCAGCACTTGCAATGGCCCTTGTGTAGCATTTCCTCAAGTGTGAGTTGCCCTCACTGTTAATAGATGTTAGGCGGTGGGGGGGGAATGGTTTGGGAAACTTACTTTAGTTAAATTAAACGTGTTTTCTTGGAGCCTTTAATTTGCTAATATATGCTGTGATTCTCGCAGAGAGAGATGATATGCAGTATGTTTTGGACCAGTGTCTTGTCAGCTTCCTGCAGGACCCCGGTGCTTTAGAGCACACTTTGGGAAATGTAACCTTAGAAGCCTTGCTTTTTTCACTTTGTGTCTCTGGCAAATCCTGACAAGATATAGCTAAACGACTGCAGATCCAAGGTGGAGGAAGGCCTCCCAGGTGAGGCTGGGTCCTCAGTGTATCCAAACTCAGCCTGTGCTCTTTCTCTGCTGTCAGTCGTGGGGCTTGTCTGTTTGCGTTTTGCTTGCTGCGTGTGCATGCACAGGGCACCATAGCGGTGATGATATTCCTGGATGAGGGAACAGCATCAGAGTGTGAAATGACAGTGGGTTTTGTGTGGTTGGAGGTCATGCTTGGACATGGAAAGTAATGAGGCCATGAAACTGTACAGGAGCAAGTCCTGAGGGCCTCACCTGCCGCATGCAGGAGTGTGGATCTCTGTAACAGAACCACCTACCCTTCCCAGCAGGTTACCTTAAGAACTGCTAATGAGTAAAAACTGTGCAGACGCTTAGGAGGCTAGGAGTGACACTTCAGCATTTTGCAGGTGCCATAGCGGTCACGGGCTTCCTGCCGTCCCAGCTTGCTGCTTGTGTAACCTGTCCTGAGCACAGGCAGCACGCGGGAGCCCAGCAGATTCTTCTTGAGTTGAACGTACTATAGGGGCTAATAAGGGAGGACACTCCCCCTCCCAGCTCCCTGCACGTCTGCAGTTTTTGAGGGCATGTTTTAGATGCTTCTGGAAGCGGACTAAAGACTAACAGAATGTAACTCAAAGAGCTGGAGATACATGTTTAATGAGATTTTAAGATCTCGTTTAAGGCTTGATTAAATAGGTAAAAGTGGGGCTACTCTGTCTCCTAATAACATGTTAATTGTTTTTTAATTAAGTAGTACTAAAAATATACAAGTATTTCCTGTGATCCAAATCTCTTGGCTTCCTGACTTTGAACTTGGTGAGTAATGAGGGTTTGGCGAGCAGGGGATTTCTCTGAAAACTTATCAGAATCTTTAGATTCTGGGTTTGGATTTGGATAGCAAGGAATATTTATATTGGAAAACCCAAGGAAGACCATATTCACGTTTTCTTTTGCAGAGGGGATGACGGTGCCTCCGATGGTTGGGTAGGTGTCTTGTCATGAAGAAATGGCAAGATGGTGATTGAATGAAGGTCGCAGAGCAGGTCATAGTAAGGACTGGACTGGGAAAAACGGGATTCTTCTGGGATAGGAATCTTGCCACAAGGCCTTCATGTACCCTAAGAAATTAGGGTCTGTCACCACTTTGTCATAGTGCTCAGCAAAATGACCAGTAGAGCCCAGGAGTCACTTGGTAGTTATGGGAGCCTTGATGAAATGTGCAGGAAACCTCAAGGACTTGATATGCAGGACATTTGCAAGAGTAGGGGTGCATATGTTTGTGATCCCTTTGACATAAAAACCCTACATGGTAGGAAGATTTAAATTTAATTCTAGAATTTTTAAGTCCATCAGTTTTATTTTGAAGAAATAACTTCTGGCCTCAGTTCATGGTTTTTTTTATATCCCCATTGTGCCTCTGTGAATAGTTGTCTTGGCTTGATTATTTGCTACTTATTTTATCTTTTAAATATTTATTTATTTTGAGAGAGAGAGAGAGAGGGCAAGTGAATGAGCATGTGTGTCAGTGCAGGAGGGGCAGAGAGAGAGGGAGACACAGAATCCTAAGCAGGCTCCATGCTGTCAGCGCAGAGCTCCAACGTGGGGCTTGAGCTCACAAACCATGAGATCATGACCTGAGCTGAAATCAAGAGTCAGACCCTTAACTGACTGAGCCACCCAGGAGCCCCTATTTGCTACATATCTTAAACCCTCTTTCACAGGAAAGTATTCATTTGGGTGATGAGGGGCAGGGAGGAAATGTAGGGTATGTGAGGTTGGAAAGAGAGAGAGAGAGAGACGAGCCCATGTCTGCAGGCGTCTTCCCATCGTGGCCCTGTAAGCGAGGGTCGCTGCGGGGCCGTGCGCCAGGCTCCGTGGTGGACAGCTGGGGGCAGGAGCACGTGGGCAGTGCTGTCCACTTGGATCTGTGGGATTTGAGTTTTCTTTTCAACGAGTTATATTTGAGCAGTTAATGGATGGCTGATTTTTATCATTATGCACGGCATAATAATTTTATGATGTTTATTCTTAGGTGGGTTTGCGGAGTTCTCCCGTTGTTTCCCTGGCCTCTGTGAAGGAAAATCTGCTATTGTCCCTACCTGCATTTCTCAGCCTTGCCTACCTGTTGCCAACATTGGGCCAACCCGAATTCTTCCCAACCTTTATCTTGGCTGCCAGCGAGATGTCCTCGACAAGGTGGGTACTTTGAAAATATCCTTCATTGCAGGGATTCTTTTTAGCAGCGGGAGAAGCCGCCACAATTGCCTGTCAGCTGTCACTTAGAACACATTCTGCTTCCAGAAAGGAAGTACACCATCCTCGGCATGACTCCCTGTGGGCCCTGCGTTAGCTTCTGCAGGGCTGTTGTGTTTGCTGTTACTGATTGCCATCAGAAACCCAAGCTGTTGTCGTATTTGCTTGTTCCTTGAAGGCCCGGGACACCTGGAATAGGACAGGACTTGTCAGAAGTGTAGCCTGGTTTTCTTGGGGTAGTAGTTGTTCTGCTGTGCTCATTGGGCACGTTCGGGAAGGCTGATATTTCCCAGATTATTTCACATTTGTGAATGCATTTATTTATCGAGGCATGCTAAAGAGGGTCTCGGGTTGGGCTTGGATTGAGGAAGGGCCCGTGGCTGGAAGACTGGGGGTGGGAGTAAGGGTGAGAAGAAGGGCTAAGGGCACGCGCTGCGGGCCGCGCGTTGGTGGCTCACCAGAGCAGTTTTGCTGAGAAAAAAGAGGGAAGAGCACGGACTTGCTGAAAAGGACGCGGGCCATACCGAACACAGTGTCCCTAACAGAGGAACCCCCAGTGATGGAGGCCACTGTGTTCAATGGTACAGCGGTGAGAGCAGTAGAAGTCAAGTCTGTCTGCCCGCACTGCACAAATGCTCTTAACCAGCAGTGCCAGGAGGCCGTGCCATAACTGCCCAGAAAAGAGGATTTTGTCTAAAAAAGCAAGCAAAGATCTTAATTTACCTGTTGATGACTTACAGGTGCTACTTTTTTTTTTTTTTTTTTTTTTTTTTTTAGTTTATTTTGATAGGGAGAAAGCAGAGGAGGGGCAGAAAGAGAGGGAGAGAGAGGATCCCAAGTAGGCTTTGCACGGTCTGTGCAGAGCCCATTGCGGGGCTCAGTCTCATAAACTGTGAGATCATGACCTGAGCCACAATCAAGAGTTGGATGCTTAACTGACTGAGCCACCCAGGCACCCCACAGGTGCTACTTACTTGTAAAGCAGGGAGGTACCTTAACATTTTCTCCTTGAGTACTTGAAAGACTTGGGCTGACCATAAAACTAGCTTCCAGATTGGCTGGCGTTAGCATGTGAAGAGTAAAAATACCCTGTGATGGGGCAGCAGTGAGGGATTCTTTCATTTTCTCTTTTTTGTTTTTTTAAAACTGCCGCCTCTATAAAATGTTGCCTTGACATTGTTATTAATATCTCTGCTTTTACTCTGAGAGATTTGAAATTTGATAGTTTATACTTTTATTGAGCTTTTCTCGTGGGGTCACAGTTCCTTTGAACATATGATTATTACTAATTCTCTTTTAGAGATAAGCAAACTATGTCACAGAAAGCAAAATTAATTTCCTAAAGTCACATGCATCCCTTGGGGTAAAGCTTGAAGGTGTTTTAGTTAATCCTCAATCAGAAAATGAAATGAAATTCCTAGTTAAGGATCCGGTTCCAGTTTACCCCCAGTTAACACAAACAAAAAGCCATAACCAGTCAGCAGGTGATTTTACAAATAATTGTGTCAGATCCTTGTTGTTACTTTTGACACTGAGTTAAGTCGCTCATTCATTTTTCTAAGTACCATTTCCAGGTTTAACAAATGTGTCCGTTAACAACTCTAGTGGTGAAAATGGACCCTGAAGTTGAAGATGTGGGGAGGGAATGGTCTTTTCCTCAAGCTGGTTTCTCAGGGAATACCGAACAGGCTGAGCAGGACACGTACACAGAAGCATTGGGAGGAGGTGGTTGTAGGCAAGAAAGGAATTTATGGAAGTTCATGGGGAAAATAACCCAGGCAAGGAGGTCTTGTGGATGACTGTCAGGTACTTATTTACAACAGATGTGTAGACCAGAGGATGGTGAGAAGTAAGCATGCTTTGAAAATGCTGCTCAGGAATCCCAGAGTGACCTCTGGATTCATTGTTAAGAAGAGTCCTAATGCTGATGGGGATTTTAGAGATCTTGCATTCGGCCTCCTTTCCTTGGTCAGTGAGGAAGCTGATATTTCCAGAAATATTAAGTGAATTCCACAGCACTCAGCAGATGAGTTTTGGGACCAGATGTGGCTCTGTTTAACAGATAGCTTGAACTGATCTTTCTGCTCAGCTCTCTGATTTAAACTTTACAGAAGAAATAATAGGCTTCTTCTCTTCCCGAAGATCTCCAAAGATGAAGATTTTGTAATCTTTCCTAATGATACATACCTTTTTATTAGAATTTACAAGCTGAAGTTTTTAAAAATATCAGTGATAAGAACACTAATTATATTAGATTTCTTTTAGATCAAGTGACATCAAAATATTTTAAAAGCATGTCACAGAAATTTTATTAGAATCATAGTTACCATTTAAAATGCTAGGCTCTTTGGGGCGCCTGGGTGGCTTAGTCGGTTAAGCGTCCGACTTTCGCTCAGGTCATGATCTCGCGGTTCGTGGGTTCGAGCCCCGCGTCGGGCTCTGTGCTGACTGCCAGCTCAGAGCCTGGAGCCTGTTTCAGTCTGTGACTCCTTCTCTCTCTCTGACCCTCCCCTGGTCACGCTGTCTCTCTCTCTCTCTCTCTCTCTCTCCTAGAAATAAATAAAACATTAAAAAAAAAGTTAAAATGCTAGGCCCTTTATTTATATTACTGCATTTAACCCTCATAATAGGATTAGGACATAGGTTGGCTCTGAGTTGTCACTTAAGATTTTGTGGTTGGGAAGTCATGGACTTCAAAGCTGGTCAGTGGCAGAAATCATCCTCAAACTCAAGCTACTGTTCTGACTTTAAGTCTTATCTTCATATAACACCAGACATCTCCCCCATCTGGAAGCTAGAACTCTCTAGAACAGGCTGTTATGAAGGACTGACAAATCTAAATAGCTTATTGAATCACTGCTGAGATTTTCTTTCCCTAGTTTACCTACAGCACACTCTATACCAGTACTGTCCACTAGAAAGGTAATACAAGTCATACACTTAACTTAAAATGTTTCAATAGCCTTACTAAAAAGGTAAAAAAGAATAGGTGAAATTAATTTTGATAACCTTTTGTTTATCACAGTATATCTAGAATATTATCATTTCAATGTGCAATCAATGTAGAAAAAGTATTGCTATTTTATATATTTTTTGTACTAAGTGTTTAAAATCTGGCGTATTTTTTATAATCATTACCCATCTCAGTGTGGCACAGTTCAGGTGCCCAGTGGCCTCATGTGGCTTGTGGCTACCACAGTGGATAGTGTAGGTCAATACTTCCAACATGTTTTAATTTTACTCAGGTTTCCAAGGCATAGCTCTTCCGTAAAAGACCATCAGAAGTCACTGGTAGCAAAAAGAATACTTTCAGTTTCTTTCCCCCTCATAACCATACTTTTGTTTCTCACAGTCTGTTCTTTTATTCTCGAGTCTTTATACAAGAGTTGGAACAGGAATAGCTTATTGTACTAAAAGTAGCTTGCCGGTGCCCAGTTCACATCTGAACTGAGTGGGATTTACGCAAGAATCTCTAGTTACTGTTGAAAGACCACAGTTCTTGATTGTTTTCTGCCTTATCACTTAACATTTCCAGTAGAGACTTTAGTTTCACACTTAAATGCACGAAACGTATGATGGGATCCCCCGTTGCTTGCCAGTGGTCATGAAGCCAGAGCTGTATCTGCGGCAAGTTAGCGGTTCTGCTGCCCCCTCGCCCCCAACTGGATGGTGTGCTGTCGGGACTCTTGGAACAAACAAGGTTGCTTTTCTTGTGCCGCCCAGCTGTGCTGCCTGCCTCTGGGATGACCGCCACTTTCTCTGCTGTCTTATCAGAGCTAGCAGCCTAGACACAGAACACTGCCTTCGGGGTTTCCAGAGGATCTAGGAAGGCAAAAGGTCAAAATTATCGGTAAAAATACACCATACGGTGCGCAAATTGGGTAGAGAAAACCAGTTCACTCCACGGTGATGTACAGGACGAGGTGAGTGACCGCAGGGCCCCCGCTACCGAGGCAGCCTGGGGTGACGGTTGAGAGCTGCCCTTGGAGGTGGGCTCTTTGGCTTTCCAGGTCTCTACCTTACAGCCATATCACTTTAGCTAAGTTGCTGAATCTCGGTTTCTTCACCTATAGATTGTCACAATTCCTGCCTTCTAGTGTTCGCGTGAGGTCCAAATGGAAGGATGTATGCCAAGCACCAAGGACGGTCCCTGGTTCGCAGGGCCCCCGGCCCGTGTCCTCAAGGGGAGGGGTATACGAGAGGCTAGGGCGAGTGGTAGGCACAGCGGGCGTGCTTGATCGAGGAAGGTTGGATGGGGGACGTAGGACTTAAGGTCAGGCATGAAGGCAGAAGGGGCAGCAGATGCAAACATACTTATTTGACTTGACTCCAGGAGGGAAGGTGGCCCTCCCGCTATCTAGACCTGCGGTGCCTGCCTGTGGTGGTGCCGTGCGGCCTTCCTCCTGGTCTGGCTGCCCTGGGGAACGTGGCCCGCAGGGCGGTTCTAGCAAGGCCGAGTGGCCGTCCGTGCCCCACTGACTACTGCACAGTCTGCATGAACACGTGATAGGGCTCCTACTTAGAAGTTAGTCCCAACTACAGGGCAGAGTTTATTTCATACTTTAGGAGAGAGAAACTTTTAGAGGGAAAAAAAATTGTGAATGGAAATCATAATTAATAATAAAACAATGAAATAAAGATTTATTTTTGACTCAAAAATGTTATTTTTGAAAGCTTTCTTAATTGTGTGTTGAAGCAAGAACCCATCTATCACCGCACATAGTCACAATTCTTTTTTCTTGTGATGAGAACTTTTAAGATCTACTCTCTTAGCAACTTTCACATATATGATACAGGATTATTTACTACAGCCACTGTGCTGTGCATGAACATTACATCCCCATGAATTATTTATTACTGGAAGTTTCTGAAGTTTCTCCCTTCTGACCACCTTCACCCACACACGCCTGTATGTTCTCTGTATCTCTGAGTAGACTAGATTC